TTCATTCACTTCCATTCCCATGGTCTTTAGTCTTGCTGCAATATTCGTCATTTCGACGATATGCTCATGCATGGTACGAGAACCATCAAACTTCATGGTGGTTAGCGTACCCATCAGTGTCCGAGCAAGCGACTTATCAACATACTCAGATTGAGAGCTTTCTTTCACGGAATTCATAAATTCCTTAGCACTTTCAGTATCATTGAAAGTTGACTTAATGTTGTTTGCTACAGTCATTCGCATAAACATTAGGCTTAGTCTGTTAGATCTTTAACAAAGCTTTATGGAAAGACTTATCCTCAGCACTGCTAGCATCAGTAAGAGCAACAGGTTTCTCACTTAAGAGTGCCAAATCAAGATCCAGAACACGGAGGTGAAACTGAACCTATTCAGCCCATTCAGAGAAGTTGAGGCCATTAAACTTAACAACAGACGTGGCTTGCGAATGAAGAGAAACAGGAACATATGCTGCAAACATATATAACAAGTACTCACACATTAATGCTTTGGGTAATAAGCACAAACTATAATACAGATTTGGAAGCATAAACATAAAATATATATTGATGCTACCTTTGGGCAAAACAACAATATATATGCGATAAATAATCGTAATTGATGCTCAAAATAATCATACAATTGGTGATAGACATACTCAAATTAGATATACTTGCAATCTTTGGATATACTAAATATATCTAACCAAGCATATCAATTTACCACGATAATGTTCATGAATTATAAAACGAGCAATCAACCTTTGGGCGATTCAAAATATTTTATAATCACGAACTTCAACTTAAAAGCATCACATAAACATTAGCAGTTGAACTTGATTCAACTTGATATCTATAAACCTTCTAATTTGGCCACTTTGGTGACTAACAAATTAATCATAAAGTAGATATCAAATGTAAAATTTTAACTTAAGGTAAGACAGTTGTTAATAATGCTTTGAAATACGCAGACCCAAAACTTGAGTCTCCAATTGCATACTGTTACTAATGGAAAAACAATATTAATCATCATTGAGACAAACATAAGGCTTTATCAACCTTCCCAAACTCTTAATTAATCGAACGCATATACAAAAGCAATAGTAATCATCCATAATTGCTTTTATCATGATTTTTAGTTGAAAAGGAAATAAAGGCAAGATACTGTCATCGCAATTCATTATAATTGAGGAAACAAACATATCAATATATCATGTAAGCATAAACATACATGCACTGCACATATATATGTTCTTGATAAACGGCGAATAATTGCTCGACAGACAGAAGACCAACCGCAAAGAAGTTAAATATAGTTGTGTACAAATCTCGAACGCGTGGACTCAATAGAATAAACAGATGATCAATCAGAAGCATCAACAAGCTTTAATCATGCATAAGCGATTGATATAAACGCAGCGGAGACTAATCGAGCATAATACATAATCGAAAATCATCCATTCATATAAACCCTAAGGCTCTGATACCACATGTAAACATAAATCATAATAGCATGGATCTTAGAATTAGATGATTTCACGAATCGGTAATAGATAAAGGAAACCTACCTCGATCCATGACGAGAGCGGCGGCGGCTTAAGTAGTAATCACCGGAATTGAGTTTCTCCCTCTTGACCCCTTTAGGTTTTAGGTTTAGAGATTTCTATGATGGCTAAGAAATTCTACGTAATGGGTGGAGAGAGGACCAATCATAGGGTTTCTTTATATAGACCCACCATCAGGGTATATTAGGAAATTACCTTTTTCATTAACCTAACCAATATATGACTTACCTTATATATTAAACCATTAAGTGATCATTACACTTAGGCCACAATTATTCCCTAGTGATTCATAAGGAAATTGGGCTTACATAGGGTTCTATTCCGAATCTCAAACTCCAGGGAAGCGCCGCACTAACTTCACATTTGGAGCTCCTGGAGAAGAGTAGAGTTGGCTTCTGCTTGCTGGAAGAGGGAGACGCCGGGAGAAGACGACGGCGATAGGGAGGGAGCCGAACGGTTTCGGTTGTCCTCGCGTTGGATTATCGAATAGAAGAGAGGGATAAGAGTAATTTGATGTGGGTGGGTTGCTTTCTTTTCTTTTCTCAAAATTAATTTTGGAAAATGATTCTGAATTTGATCAAGAGAAAATGATTCTTTATCAGTCTAACTCTTTATAAACAAACGTCATAAGGGGTTGGTTTTTTGACACCCCCTTCTCAATTGGTCAATTTTTTTTTCCATTAATGATTGACAAGTATTAATGAAGGTAGACATAATAAATGTTCTGTTATTAAATACAAAGTAAACATTAAATACACCACATTAATTACTTTTTTTTAAAATTTAAATATATACAAAATACAATTTTCTCTCTCATCTTTGATCTTTCTCACTCCTATTTCTGATTCTTCCCTTCCCAACAGCCTCCGACCACCAAGTTCCCTCCGATCACCACACTTCGCCGGTAAAATCCAGCGGACAGACTCTCTCCGGTCACTTGCGAAAATATACCACTGCACTGATATGTTGTACCACTGTATTGGTATTTGTACCACTGCACTAATACTCGGATATGACATTAGTACCAGTACACTAATATCGCTACAAGTGCAGTGGTACAACGTATCAGTGCAGTGATATTTTTTTGCAGGTGGTCGGAGGGAGTCTGCCGATGAGATTTTCACTGGAGAAGTGTGACGGTCGGAGGAAGCCTGGTGGTCGGAGGCTGCTGAAAAAGGAAAAACCAGATATAGGGAGAGAGAATGTATTTATTGTAGGTTTTAATTTGAAAAAAATAAATAATTAATATGGTGCATTTAATTCCTAATATGTATTTAATGTGTTTATTAAATTCATTAATTGTATTTAATACCCGAGGGGGTGTCATTTTTCCACCCCTCAAGGGGGTTAGCATGCTAACCGATAATGGTAACTGACCTACCGATTCTCTATCTAGTTTCTCTCTCTAAAAAATACTGACTTAATCACCAGAGAGTATCCGAGACCCCGCTTCCGGATCCCTTCTACAGGAATACGAGTCCGCTTGCGTCAAAAGGAATGCGTAATCTCAACAAGAACGGCCTCTATCCCGCCTGGTACTTTCCAGGCGGAACAGTAAGATTATGCAGATCAAGATTTGGCCATCTGATTTCGTTGTAATTTCGATCTTCATCCCTTGTCTCTACTCTCTAGGAAACCAAATGTTTCTGCATTCAATTCTATGAACGTGAAAATCTTTACTGTATACACAACTTTACAAAGAATAGAGAATGAGGAAATTAACAACTGGTATTTGCACGGTTAGCTAGGTTCCAGCCATCCCCTTCTCATTCACTTATTAAACTAACTGAACCTCCCAATCTTGGAAAACCTTCTGTAGATTCCAGACTCTAAATGACTACTTGCAAGTTGCAAGTGTCCTTTCTCTATTGAAACTGCTCGAGTTAAAAATAAAAATTAAAAAAATGGTGTTTTTAGTAATTAAGACTTAACCGGAAGAAGGGTTTTCCTCCATTCTGGAATGTGGCTCGAGAGGAGGTTGATGTACTGCTCCATAGCTTCGTCTCGGTTCATGTCTCCCAGTTGCTGCCATGAATTCCTAAAAACCCATGTAGAATATCTTACAGCAAGTAAAAAAGTGAAAGTGATTACACAATATGAGTACATTTCTTTGATGAATTATGCTGCCAATTCTCACTCTTTGTGCAGTGAACCCAAAATAGAAGCAGAAACAAAGATGATCCTTACCACTTTGCACGAGCAGAAACCTTCAAGGCCATGGGCCGGGGAGCATGGCAGGGGCCATCAATGGCGATCTTGTGAAGCCCATAAAGCTGCAACTTCAACTCGTTTCGCGGATGCGAATAATTAGCAGCAGCGAGGGTAGAGCCAACATAAGCGACAGCAGCACCGAAAAGCCGCTCCAACTCACTTCTCTCCACCCCTTGCCATTCATCAAACACCATACCTGCATTCTTCACCCAACCCACCTCCACCAAATCGTCTCCGCACTCTGAAACCTCAACAATTTCACATTCCAACGCGACCGCCCCGCCCAAATCCAACATCTCAATTTCGTCGCAATCCAAACTCCCCCGCTCGCTGAACTCCTCTGCCCTCGGTTCTTCTTTGTTTGTCGGTGATGCAAGACCTCTGCCATTATCTCTGTAGCTGAATCTGCTGAATTCCTCTACTTGAACGAATTCTGCAGCAAAACCAACTGTTTTCTCCGGTTTGGAGGAGCGGACATTCCTGGTCCTTATCCTATTGCGCTTGAGTTTGACGCAATTGAAAGCACCACCTGGGTAATCGTCACCGGAGCCCGTAAAAGTGGAAGAGGAAACGGAGAGGAGCTTGGAGACGATGAAGGAGAAGAGGAAGGAGAAGAAAAGGGTCAAGGAGAATTCAAGGAACAGCTCCATGATGAGATTTTTTTTTTTACTGACCGGAGATGAGAGAGGACAGAGGAGAATGTGGAAGGTTGAGAGTAATGTACGCTTCCTTCTGCTTCGTGGAGAAAAATACAAGCACCGAATTGTCAGAGAGCTCAACCGCCCACCGACTCCATTGTCGTTGTCAGCTGATGATGGCGCTCAAAAAACGACGCCCCGTCTTCTTTCCGCTCTCACCAAACCAAAATAAATGAGAGAAGTGATAGCAGGTTCAGCGATCTCACTCTTACTGAAGAACAAATCATAGGCCCTAGAGTTTGAATGAAGAAAGGGAGCCATAAATGATTAGGAAAGCATCCTGAATCCTGACATTATTTCTGGTGGAAGGTCCATTTTCTGTCCATTGTTATTCTTGGGGAAAAAGGGTAGGTCCATTGAGCGCCGAGACATTACCCAACAATTACGAAATAAACACTGTCTGTCTGTATTCAACTTTCTTTTTCTGGTTTATTTCAGTCAGACAAAACTCATGAAGTGTGAAATGCATGAATTCGTATGGGCGAGACATGAGCATGGCACAAACAATGTGCCTTAGGATAGGTTACTGATCTGTGGTAGCCTGGATTCAATTACCAGAGTTACCGGTTCATTTCTATCATCGAGAGATCCTATTTTCACTTGGGAACTTGATTGGGAGGACAATCAAACTTGACTATCATACAGAACATCGTCAAAGAGGCAAGTTTGCCAGAATTGCGGTAGAGCTCGACATGACTAAACCGCTACCCACCAGAATCTGGCTCGACGACTTCTGGCAAGTGATCCTTTATGAGAACTTGCCCACAATTTGCTATGAATGCGGCCGAATTGGACACCAGGAAGAGGCTTGCCCTCAGAACGGGAACAAACATCAAAGCTCAAACTTGTGCCTACAGGAATCTTCTCCGCAAGACCACTCGTCGGCGAACTCCCAAGAACCTCCGGTGGGTTTCGGCACCTAGATGCAGGTCACACGCAAATCGCGGAAGCAGGGAAGGAAAGTGGTGGACTCAGAGTTACAGAATCATGGGCAGCCCCAATTTGCTCGCGCAAATCATGGCAAGGTTACAGGGACAGCGAAAGGAAAGACTGAAGAACCATCTAGGAAAGGGAGTGGTGATGGAAAAGGTAAGGCGGAGCAGAAGCAGGGGAACAAGAAGGGTAACTCGGAGCTAGTAAAGTCAAAGTCTGCTAACCTGGAAGACAAAGCTAACGGGAAAAAGAAAATACATATTTCACAAGAATGGCGTCCAACGGCGGAAAAGCAACAAAAAGAAATTCAGCTGAAGTGTGCTAATGGGCCCAACCCAGCTACTCCCAATGATCCGTCCACATCGAACCCTAGCCCAATGACTACCATTGAATCATCCTCTACGGACCCTGTTTCGAGGCCCATTGTCCAACAAGCGCAAGACGAGAACGGAACGCGGATTCGTGTTCTCTCTGTCCCTGATCTGATTCTCACCCCCAAAGAAAACCAAAATCCCAACACTGAAGCTAAGTCGATTTGGCACCACTATGTCAAGAAGAAATTGGAGACTTCGCCGGCGCAGGAAAAGAAGAAGGGAATTAACCTCAGAACCATTAAGAGACCGCTTCAAGTTCAGACTTCAACACAGCGGGATCTTCTCCAACGCTCCAAACACACCAAGTTCCCGGTTACTATGAAAGAAATAGAGGATTTTTGTTCTCAAGTGCTGATCAAAGGAGCCAATTCTCATAAGCTGGACCAAGAGCTCCCCAAGGATACTTCTATGATGGAAACATCAGTGGCTGTTACTGTTGTAGATGGAAGCGAATCAGGAGAATGAGAAGCTCAAGCGTCCGAGCCTGCTGAATAATCCCTCGTTTACCCTGCCTGCTTCTTTTTGTTGCTGTTTTTTAGTTTAGCTTCTTTTTTTTCTATTTTATCCATGTCTAGTTTTCCTAATTTTAAAATCTTAAGCTGGAATGTGTGTGGTGCAGGTAACCGAAAGTTCTTGCGAGCAATTAATCTCCTCAACACCACCCACAAGCCGGATTTTTTGATCCTTCTGGAACCGCAAATTAGTGGTGAGAAAGCTGATTATGTTTGCAAGAAGCTGGGCTTTGATGAGGTAGTGAGGGTTGATGCTATTGGAAAGGCTGGGGGTATTTGGGTTGCGTGGAAAACTACCAATTTTAAAGTTGGCCTTATCAACGCCAGCAGACAGCATATTACGCTGAAGATTGACGCTCCCAACAATCAGCAATGGCTTCTTACTGGAGTATATGGTAGCCCTCAATACCGGTTTCATTCACTTCTCTGAGAGCATCTTATTCATACCAGTAAATCCATTGGAATCCCCTGGCTAGTCACATGGGATTTTAATGCTTTTTGTACTCCGGATGAGAAGTTGGGTCCTTGCTCAGGAGTTACTCTGCGTAGATGTCAACGTTTCTGTCGTTGGATAGATGAGGCTGAGCTGATTGAACTGGGGTTCAAGGGCCCTCGGTTCACTTGGTTCAGGGGTGACACTCTGCATACGAGGAAAGCAAGTCGGATCGATCGTTCCCTTTGCAATGTTGCCTGGAACTTAGCTTTCCCCCACACCACTGTCCAACATCTTCCTAAGTTTCAATCTGATCACCTGCCTGTCATTACCTAGGTTCAACAGCAGCAACATTCAAATCTTTCTATGGACAAGCAGTTCAAGTTTGAGGCGGTTTGGACAATGGACAGTAGGTTCTCAGCCTTCCTTGCTGATAATTGGAACCAAAATCTTCCTCTTCAGCAGGCCCTTGAAGATGTCACTCCAAAACTTCAACAATGGAGCAGAGATGTTTTTGGTTCCATTCACAAAAAGAAACGGCGTCTCATGGCCCGTCTTCAGGGGATTACTAGCTTCTTAGCCGATGCTTTCAATCCAGGATTACTCAAGCTTCAAATTAAACTGGAGAATGAGTTGGATCAAGTGTTGGCGCATGAAGAATTAGTCTGGTTTTAATGAGCTAAAGAAAACTGGATTACTCTTGGGGAGCAGAATACTTCTTTCTTCCACCACCAAGCAACAAGACGCAAAAGAAGAAATAAAACTATAACTCTTCGTGATGCTGATGGTAATTGGATTGAGGATCAACATGATCTTCTTCACATGGTTCTGGGCTTCTACACCAAGCTTTATACAGAAGACAACAACCATTATGAGAATCTCATGCCCTGTAATGCTTTCCCAAGGCTGCGGCAAGAAGAAATCACGATGCTGCATCGCCCATTCCAGATCATTGACTTCCATGATTCCATTTTCAAGATGAAACCGTATTCTGCTCCTGGTCCGGATGGTTTTCAGGCCATCTTCTATCAAAAATTATGGCCAATAGTTGGGAAAAGCCTCACTGAGATGGCGGTTAAGTTTTTTGGTACAGGAGAAATGGCTGGTGACACCTTTGATTCTACGATTGTTCTCATTCCTAAGACGGAGCAACCAGAATCGCCTGCTCAATTCAGGCCGATTTGTCTGAACAATGTGGCCCTTAAAGCTGTGACTAAGGCGATCACTAACAGGCTAAAACCTTTAATGCCAAAGCTCATTGCTCCGAACCAGAGTGGGTTCATTAAGGGCAGACAGACCACAAATAATATCATTCTTCTACAGGAAACTCTGCACTATCTGCGCAACAAGAAAGGGCAGAAGGGTGGCTTGGTGATCAAGATTGATCTTGAAAAAGCCTATGATCGGCTTAGATGGGATTTCATAAGGGACACTTTGGGGGAGATTGGGCTGGCTAGCTCCTTCATCAACTGAATCATGGCTTGTGTGGAGAGAAATAAAATAAGGATTAATTGGAATGGTCATCTCTCAGATCCGATCATTCCAAGCAGGGGTGTTCGTCAGGGAGATCCTCTTTCCCCTTTTCTTTTAGTTTTATGTATGGAGAGATTAGCTCAAAAAATTAAACAAGCCATTGAGGATAAATTGTGGAAACCCCTTAAGCTGTCTACAGATGGCCCAAAACTCTCTCATCTTTTTTTTTGCTGATGATCTGATTTTGTTTGCAGAAGCTGAGAGTAGACAAGTAGATATCATCAAAAAATGCCTTGATGAGTTTTGTTCCAGCTCCGGTCAGCGGGTCAATCTCAGTAAATCGGTCATGTTTATTTCTCCCAATATTGCTAGGGACAAGGCGCTTCGCCTCAGCTCTCGAGCAGGGATTCCTCTTACTTCAGATCTAGGGAGGTATTTGGGACTCATGGCTATCAATGGAAGAATCAATCAGACTCGCTACAAAGAACTCCTACTCAAAGTCCAGAGGAAGTTGGCTAGCTGGAAGACTTAGCATTTATCCATGGCAGCTCGAGTGACTCTGGTTAAAGCTGTGACTTCTAATGTGGCTCATTATCCTATGTTTTCTGAGTCTCTTCCTGCAGGGGTGTGCAACGCTATTGATAAATATAACAGACGCTTCATTTGGGGGGAAGATGACAACAAGAACAAGATCCATATAGTGTCTTGGAACCAAATGACGCTCCCGCGAGCTCAAGGAGGTCTAGGAGTTCGACCCACTAAGCTGACCAACCAAGCGATGTTGGCAAAAGGAGCCTGGAGATTGGTCACAGAAGACAATGTGTTGTGGGCTAAAACTCTCAATAGCATATATGGCGGTGATAGGAAAGGGCTTCAGATTCTTAAAGGAAAAAAGGGAAGTTCACACGCTTGGCAAAGTTTTAGTCAGTCTGCCCATCTTATTCGAAAAGGGGCTGCCCTTAATGTAAAAAATGGCAAACTGATCAATTTCTGGTGTGATCCTTGGTTGCTGCAGGTACCATTAATTGAGAAGGCGAGGGTGGACGTCCCAATGGAGGCCAAAAAATAGAAAGTTGCTGACTATTGGGATCTTGAGACAAGATGGAGAATTGCTGACCTGGAAGCTTACCTGCCGACTGAAATTTTGGATCAGTTGCGCGCATTTTTGCTTGATCCGTTATCAATAGAAGATAACAGGCTTTTTTGGAAACCAGCAGCGTCTGGGGCCTTCAATACGACATCTGCATATCAATTAGCAACAAGTCAAAGCCCAAACACAAGCGTCATCCCTTGGCACAAGATTTGGAGGCTGAAAGTGCCAGAGAGGGTTCGGTTATTCATGTGGACAGCCTCAAAAGGAAGATTAACAACCAATAGTGTCAGGAAGTACAGGCACCTTTCCATCAATGACAAATGTGCTCTTTGCGGGACAGAAATTGAAACCAATATCCACTGCTTGAGGGATTGTCACAAAATTAAACAAGTTTGGGAAAAGATAGTTCCCCAACAAAGTCATCATCAATTCTTTGCAGTAGACCAGGAAAGTTGGCTAGCACAGAACTTAAATAAAGATGACGAAATGGCTGATACAAGTGAGTGGAATAACTTCTTCTCCCTCATCTGTTGGTACATATGGAAACATCGAAACGATTTCATCTTCAAGGCAGCAAGAATGTCAAGATCCACTATGATCAACTACATTGTGTCCAAAGCCAAAGATTGGGCAAAGACGTGGAAATCAGCTGCCGATAGAGCTGACTCTTACCTAAAACTAGCAAGGGAGGAAAGGCTCATTGGCTGGAACCCGCCTCCGACTGCTTGGTGCAAGCTCAACACCGATGGGGCAACTCAGGGTACTCCGAGTCTCATGGCAGCAGGAGGGTGTATCAGGGACAGCGATGGTGATTGGTTGGGAGGTTTTTGCTGCAACATTGGCACAGGATCGGCTATTCTCGCAGAGCTTTGGGGCATCCATAAAGGTTTGGAAATGGCCTGGAAAATGAACATTCATTGTCTGATTGTTGAGACTGACTCCAAACTAGCTATTCAGTTGATCGAGAACAGGACCGACTCGATTCACCCTCATGCCACTCTCTTGACCATGATCCGAAGACAGATAGCTCAGAGTTGGTTAGTTCGATTGGTTCATACGTATCGTGAAGGGAATAGAGTCGCGGACTGGCTCTCGAAGCACAGTC